TCAGCTCCATGGGCAGCGTCTTTCTGTTAATACTGAACACAAATTCTAAGGCCTAATCTTGGACACCAAGCTAGCCTTCATACCTACACTTGAAGTATTTAAAAAACAAGTGCATAAAAGCTATGAACATTCTAAAGGTGTTGTCACGCACTACGTGATGAAAGCGACAAGAAGTGTTTAATGAATTTGTATAAAAGCCTAGTACGTACCCGCCTAGACTATGGGGTAATGTCATATCAGCCTGTGACAACTACTGCCCTTAATATGCTTGACCATGTTCATTATCTAGGCATCCGTCTCTCTACGGGGGCTTTTCGCACTAGCCCCGTGGAAAGCCTGTACGTGGAATCAAACAAATGGTCGCTCCACCTACAGAAATGTTACATGTCTTTTAAATATTATCCTAATACATATACAGACAAGAATCACCTATCACATTCTACAATTAATAACATGCCAAGTCTTGCTGTTTTTGAGAAACAGCGTTCTAGGAGACAGCCCTACTTACTCCGTGTGAGGGGCCTAGCGAAGAAAACTGGTGTGCCACTTGAACACCATTTGATGGCTCCCGCAGTATGCCTGCTACCATGGCAATGGCAGACGATAGATTGCGACATGTCTTTCTTGGAGGTTACGAAGGACGCACCAGTTGCACATATCCAGACATACTTCCTAGAACTATAACAGGAATACACATGTCCTGAATTTTTTACGCATGCTTGAAAGTCCGACACTTCTCTCTCGTACGCAGTCGTCCGCCCATCCTTTTCGGAAGTCGGCGTTCTGCATATTGATACAAGGAATTTCATCGGCGAAGCTTATGCGATACTTGCGGCCGTTAAACACATTATATAAATAAAACAACAGAAGGTGATAATATATACAGATTCCCCAAGCGCAGTAAATGTTGTGAAAACTTTTAAAAAGCACAAAAACGTTGTCTGAGTAGCTTTATTCGCTCTTATGCACAGTCTACTCATCTAAGCAGCATGTTGTAATTTGCTGGGTGGCAGGACACCGCGAAATACAAGGCAACGTTCTGATGGACCAGCTAGCTGGATCCGCCAACAAAACCGCTTCGAATGCATCGATACCAGTTTCTGCACTCGACTTCAAACCTTTTCTAAAACGAAAGCTAAGGGGCTATCGGCAGAGCACATGGGACACACATACAGGTAATAAACTGCATGTCATGAAGCCGCAACTTGGTCATTGACCGCCAGTATCAAAATCACGCCACGCTGAAGTAGTCCTTACAAGGTTAAGAAAAGGACATACACACGCAACACATTAATTTTTTTCGTCTGGGGGCGATCCACTTTTGTGTGATAGATGTGGGGAAGCACTCACCGTACTTCACATTCTAATCCAGTGTAAAGAATTAAACACGCTGAGAAGACAACACTTTCCGTTACCCTACCGACAACAGATACAACTTCATCCTGCCAGAAGTGTCCAGTGGACAGAAGTGGACAGAAGTGTCCTTTTTGATTGATAAGGTGCGTTAAGTAGCACGTGTTGATCCTCGACGCGTCGGCGCAGCTATGTACGGGTTCCCTATTTTACCGACGTTCTACAGTCAATAAAAAACAGTTGGTAGTTTGCGCTCGACCTGTTTAAGTGTTCCTTCTTTGTGGTGTCCTTTCTATTTCAGCGCAATTTTTTACCTGAACATCCTGCAATGTTCGTCTGTAGGGAACCACTTTTTACACATAAATCCTTGTTAGTTTCTCTGAGAGAAGTTCATACATTTAATAGTATATATCCGGGCATTTCGTAGCACGACCTCACCAGAGGTCTCTGCGGCAGTTGTTACACTCAGCGAAGCACTCGCTTTACGGCCCTTGGACGCAAAGGTGTGAACGATAGAGGCACCTGAACTAGTGCCATACATGTCCACCATCGTTTTTATCATCACAAACTTTTGTCATTCATTAACACCACACACTTTTTATGGCATGGTCATGATTTTACTGCTTCTATGTTTTTACCCGTCTTAGGGCGAGGAACTTTAAGGCCCTTATACAGCCGTGGATCACGATAATTGTCCATATTTCTAATAAGATGAACTGGCGCTCTTTGGCTATGAAATGGCCTTTGCGCCACAAAACATCAAACATCATCATATCTATCTATCTATCTATCTATCTATCTATCTATCTATCTATCTGTCTATCTATCTATCTATCTATCTATCTATCTATCTATCTATCTATCTATCTGTCTGTCTGTCTGTCTATCTAACCGCCTACGACATTTAGCTCTCCTAACTGTTTCAACAATGCTATCGATATTAAATTTAGTATGGCATAACATGACTGCATGAAAAACATGTTGGACCAGTCATAACGTGAAAATCATATGTTTGTCATGAATGTCTTGAGTTACATTTCAGAACTCTGCAGCTCATGCGGGGGTTTCGTTCACCTGGCATGTTGCAAAACTGGTATGGTATGACATGATTGCATGGCTAACTCAAGTGACTCACAAGAGTGGAAGCTTGGGCTAGTTGGTGCGTATTCATATTTGCAAGGTGTTTCAGCGCGCGAACAAAGGAAAAAAGGACAGGGTAGACAGAAAGAGCGCTGACTTCCAACTAACTTTATTTCGCAGAGTGGCAAGAATTTATACGTCTAAAAAGGAAGATTACAGAGCATAAATGTAAAAAACTCAAGTGACAGACCCTAACTTGAAAATTGTGACATGCGTATCATACAACAACATGGCTACATGCCACGCTCATGATGCACTCGCGGCCGTTTGGCTAGCTTCAAATGTACCAAATTTGGTATTACGTGACGTGAACAGACGGCATAGGTAAATGACACATCCGAACATGATAATCTCGACCTGTGTGTCGTCGGAACGTGACTACATTCTTCACTCTTGATGCGCTCACGGCCGTTTCACTAGCTGCACAGATGCCAAATTTGGTATTACATGACTTCAATGGATGGCAAAGATATGTGACTGATGCAAACATGATAATCAAGAGATGCGTGTCATGTGAGAACATCACTACATGGCACAGTCAAGGCGCCAATGCGTTTCAAAGTGACACGGTGCGCGTGCTCGCCGGCGTGGCCACACTAGCCGCCTGTCCTGCCGTATACTCAAAGGCGCGCGCCGCACTGCGTTGCTTTGACGCGTGCACGTGTCGGCGCGTCCGGCATCCCTCCGTCACGAAAATAGGGAGATGAAGTGTTGTCTGGGTAATGCATCGGCCTGAAAGGCAGCATGTCGCATTTCGAGCCAGTCGCCATCGGGCCGCGCCAACGGACGCTGGTAGCACCGGTCATGCCGTCAGACTATACAGGGCCCGCGTTCTGCTAACGTATAGCATCGCTGGGCCCAACGTGCACGCTCGACAACGCTACACTGGAGTATACTGGGCCCTTCATGATGCGCTCACGGTAGTTTTGCTGGCTCCACATATACGAAATTCGGTGTTACGTGACGGCAAGGGATGACGAAAGTTCATGACTGGTGCAATCATGATAATCCTGACGCACGTGTCATGTAAGAACATGAAAACATACCATGCTCATAGCATGCTCGTGGCCATTTGGCTAGCTCCACATATACAAAATTTTGTATCACGTGATGTGAATACATGGCGAAGGTAAACGAGACATCCAAGCAAGATGATCATGGAATGGAAGTCATGTAGGGCATTATTTACCTCCACCTCGTAACCTTGTGCTGATTGTAAAGTTACACATCAACCTTTCTCATTCGTGCTTTTCATATAATCGATTCACACTGTACGTGGGATATGCCATTTTTTGTGAGCTGTTTTATAGCTGCTGGAGTCTGCGTGATTCCAGAAGACTCTTCGTTGGTATATTCTATGCTGTTTCAACGAATAAGGGCAGCTTCAGAAATAAAACATCCTCTTTGTTGCATGACAGCAAGGCAAGTTTTAGCTTGATTGGTACAGATTTTAATTCCGCAGAGGGGTTTAAAAAAAGAATACAACTTTGCACTTAAAGATCTTTCTCTACTTCATAGTAATTTTTAAAAGGAATAAAAAAGCATAATTTCAGACGGCCAGTTGTATAATTTTGAACAGGTATCTATTTTCTGTTAAGAGAACCTGCATGACATTATGAAGCAGAAATAGATTATGGTGGCTTTGATAAGCATTATTTTTATCTATTTCTCTGCGTACGTGCTACTCATGAGGCAGGTTGGTTTCCATTACTTGATAAAACTGACCAAAGATGAGCTCAGTTCTTCAGTCATGTATTATTTGCTGCTTTACTAGTTTGTTGCAAGAAAGGTGAAGGAGTAAAACAAACACAAGAAATTAAACGTTTTCTGCTTGCTTCGAGGTGGACGTTGGCATGTTGTTGTGCTAAATGGAAGAGTGCCATGCTCTTGTTTCTCTATCCAGTGGTATTGTTCTTTCCATACCTTCACTGAGGAACTGGATCTATCTCCTCTAGGCTTTAATTAACAGTTTTAAGTGGCATTTCCTCGAACCCTGGGAAACTGAGTGCTTTCAGAGCATATACATTGAAATGATGCACCATAGATTCCTTCACCCCAGTCTTTGTGACGCACTGCAGAAGCTATTCGTCTATCTCCGAAAAAATACTGTGCTTACCCCAGAAAGCAAGTGCTTGCTCATTTCTTTCACTGAGTTCGGCTTCATATGAGCACTTTTATCACACGCATTTTTCATTATTCTCGAACTTCTGACCAGCTGGTGTGGTGTTTCAGAAAAGATACTCCAGAGTTAGCCCATAACACCACGGATACTGCTTGCTTTCTAAAAAAAATAATGGTGTCACTAATTCCTCATAAATTTATAATTATATATTTGGGCGGCACTTGGAAGTAGTGTTCTGGGTGTAGCTTTGGCAAGTGTACGTAAAGAATGTTCAACGCATCGTGGCACAGCCTGTCATTCACAGCAAGTGCCATGTCTTCACAGCCTTCAATCGTTTCTGGTGCTTTTCCTTGTTGTGCTCAGTTCAGATATGACATTTGCTTGCAGTGATGTGGAATACACCGAGGCGATGCGATATCGCAGGACGATCAGGGATCATCACACTACACTGCTACGAAGTTATGTGAGTGTGGACTTGCATTTTTTGCAGGGCTTTTTGTAGGTTTCTACGGTTGCATTCTGCTCTTTTACGGTAGAACGCAGCTGCATGCTTCGTTCCCATAAGGGATGAAAACAGAGACATGCAATATTTTGATGCTTGACAGCATACCAGATAATTACCATGAGTTTTGAAAAAAGTGTGATAGTTTGGCTTTTCTCATATGAAGATATGTTGGTAATAAACGGAAATAAGTGCTGAATGATAGATATTTTGCAGCCCATAGTCATACCGTAGCTTTCTGCGTTACACGTTTCTAGTTACATGTTCCGCCTTACTCTTTTAAATTATCTTAGTGGAAAGTTGGGAAACAGGTTGAATTATAATAGAACAAATTAAGACAGAGGTAGCCTAAATTATACGAATCCAAAGCATCGAGTAATTATTGTTTTCAATTGGAAGCTGTCACCATCACTTTTTATTGTCATGTCTCATTTATTGCCAATATAAAAAGACCAACATTGAAAGCCACACCGGTATTGCATGTCTAATTTTCGTCAAGAAACACTACTGTTTTGGTAGAATTAAGTGACGTACTAAAGACAAATGCAAGTCAAAACTTGCTTATGTACTTGAAAAACATCATGTCGGTTTAAAGATGTCTTGTTTCGTTGTTGTTGCAGGTTCGAAGATGTGGCTAGCCGTGGACACATTCCTGAGACCAAGTATATCGAACTGACAATTGGATCCACGCAAACCGCTGTCTGCTTCCCCATCGCAGCTAGACTTCTACGTAGATGAGCAGGGTGGTGATACGCAGGTTCTCACATTGATCAATGCCAGCCAACACCCGTTGTGCTTTCAGTGTGAGTATTCGTTGCCTGAAATTTTGTTTTTGTGATTGCGAATGTCTAAGCATGAACTTTCGATGCGAACCTTTATCGTTGTAACTTGTTTTGGCCCAGTTCTTACCAAGCAAGAACAGATAAATATGTATGTAATATGCGGACAATATGACAATCACGTAAAAATTATGGCAGTTGTTTAATGTTACAGTGCAGTGAAGGCATACACAGGAAGAAGGACAACGGGACTGTACCTGTGGTGTGTTTTTCTACGCGGAACATGTGTTTCTTGTGCTGTTCTTGCGAACATGAATTTTCTGGGTGACTCTTTCGAGTTTTATGATTATTATTTTTGTTATATTCTTTAATAAGAACAACAACTCGTCGGCAGGGCCAAGAAGACAGTAGAAGCCCGAGGGTTCCTGACAAAGGAGGCCTCTCACCTTAGGGTGACACAGAGCATTGCTCGGGGCACTGTTTCAAAAATAAACGTTTACTTCTCTCTTTTCCGCAATCTGCAAAAAGTATTATAAAATAGCTGTATATTCTTCTCATAAACATTAGTGGATCGGAAAACGTGCTAGGTAAGGTGGGTGTGAATCACTGTTACTTTTGCCATAGCTGCAACTCTAAACTCTGCATCTCTTTAGGTCAAATGCATTTGCCCCACAAAATGTAACATGTTCTATCCTTCCATTCTTTTATAACCACAACTGTGCTGCAGAGAGCGTCATAACTGTACTGAGATTTCACTATTACACTAACCCGTCGTAACGTCCAGATAACACACTTGGGCCAACAATAATTGGCAAAGGATGTAATTGAGCATGAGAGCTAATTTTGTCAAGTTAGCATTTTTTGACGAAAAAATGGAAGCCTTTACTTTCATCGTACTCGCATCTTCTGGGTGTTGAATACAATCTTATTTCTATGGAGGTGGAGCCATGGCAACCCCTCAGCTGTCAGTTTTGGACATTTGCTGAACGTGCTGGTAACACTACGAGCAGAAATTTAAAATATTCATTGAACTCTCGGGTATCCCTTCACGTCAATGGAATAACCCTACTTTTGCACATGGCAGCTAAGTCTCCCAGATTGTACTCTGCAAACTCTGTCTGTAAATGACTGTGTGCACAGTTTGTTTATCAAAACGTAGCGTTATTTCAGGACCAGCATCATTGTTCTATTTTTCCTTGTAGTTACATTTGCGCGTCGTTCTTTGCTAACTACCAGTTGAGGCTAGTGTGCAGTGAAGTCATGAAAAAGTATTGACACGTGCGGTTCTTTTGGTCGACTGCTTGTCTCGCGCTCCTGTCGATCCGCCGCCCCAGGATGACCAGGACGACGACTCTTTCCTGGGACCCATAAGTACCGACGACTACGCGGAACGCCAACGAGCTGACCCGGAGCTCAAGATCCTCATGGACTACCTGCAAGGCAAGACCGCCGACGTGCCGAAAGTATTCCGCCGAGGACTGGCTTCGTTTTTCCTGCGAAACAACGTCCTCCTGAAGAAAAACTTCTCGCCGCTCCGCGCCGACCACCTCCTCGTGGTACCTTCAGCGTTACGTCCAGAGGTTCTGGAAGCATTACACGACGACCCGACAGCCGGACACCTTGGTGTTTCCCGCACACTGTCACGAATACAAGAGAAGTACTATTGGCCTCGCCTCGCTGCCGACGTCGCCCACTACGTAAAAACATGCAGAGACTGTCAGCGACGCAAGACGCCGACAACTAGGCCAGCCGGACTTCTGCAACCCGTCGAACCACCTCAACGGCCATTCCAACAAATCGGCATGGACTTACTGGGGCCGTTCCCGACGTCAACTTCTGGCAACAAATGAATTGTCGTAGCGACTAACTACCTCACCCGCTATGCCGAAACAAGGGCCTTGCCCAAGGGCACTGCCGCCGAGGTCGCCATGTTCTTCATTGAGAACATCGTCCTCCGCCACGGAGCCCCCGAGGTCCTCATCACCGACAGAGGTACGGCCTTTACGGCTGACCTAACGCAAGCGATCTTGAGGTACAGTCAGACAAGCCACCGCCGAACCACCGCGTACCACCCACAGACGAATGGCCTCACCGAGCGTCTAAATAAGACCATCGCCGACATGCTGGCCATGTACGTGGACGTCGAGCACAAGACGTGGGACGCCATACTCCCGTATGTAACCTTCGCGTACAACACGGCCGTGCAGGAAACGACGCAGTTTGCTCCATACAAGCTCGTCTACGGACGGAGCCCAACAACGACGCTCGACGCCATGCTACCGGTCGGCACCGACGAAGAAGACCTCGACGTCGCCAGCTACCTGGATCGCGCTGAAGAAGCTCGACAGCTAGCCCGCCTGCGTATCAAGAGCCAACAGACGGTCGACAGGCGCCGCTACAACCTTCGACGACACCACACCGAATACCAACCAGGTGACCTTGTCTGGGTCTGGACGCCGATACGACGACGGGGATTGTCTGAGAAGCTCCTGCGACGCTACTTTGGACCCTACAAGGTAGTCCGACGTCGTGGTGAACTGGACTATGAGGTCGTTCCCGATGGCTTAACGTCATCCCAACGACGCCGTGCACGACCCGAAGTCGTACACGTGGTGCGACTTAAACCATATTACGCGCGCTGATTAGCTGTGACGCATTGTTAATGTAATTTAATGCATGTACTCTCTCTTATGTTCTGTCTTTAGCATCGGGACGATGCTTTTTCAGAGGGGGGTAGTGACACGTGCGGTTCTTTTGGTTTACGAAGGAAGACGCTATCACTTTCTGTTAAGCGCAACGCAGGCCGCGTTTATCTTGTATGCCACTCTGGAACGCGTTACGACGCGTGTATAAAAAACTGACACGTGCGGTTCTTTTCGTTTGCGTAGGAAGACGCTATCACTTTCTGTTAAGCGCAACGCAGGCCGCGTTTATCTTGTATGCCACTTTGGAACGCGTTACGACGCGTGTATAAAAAGCCGGCGCAGTGCGCCACTGGGGGTCTTTTTTTTTCCGTCGGCCGACGACTGTTCACGCCGCTGTTGCTGTGAGTTGTGTTTGGCCCTGTTTTGCTGGGCACAAGTTCGCCCAATAAACAGTTCGCCTGACACCGCCCTGACTCCTGCGTGCTTCCTCTCAAGTGCTGCGTGTATCACAACCTCGTGACAGTATTGTAGTAGCAACTGCTGCAGAGTACTTTATTGTATGCATAGTAATCAATATTATACAAACTAAAAGAGGTTTTGTGTGCTCCAGCACCATTGTGCAAGCTTTCCGAGGGCATGATTACAAGGTGATGTGCAAAGGTGCTCTTAAAGCGTAATATTTACAAAAAAACAGTTATTGAGTATGCCTGCTTAGGAGCACTGTCATCACTCGCATTTTTTATTATTCTCGAATTTCTTACCAACCGCTTGGATGTTTCAGAAGCAAAGCTTGGGAATTGTTACATCGTACAACGAAACTGCTTGTTATCTAAAAACAAAACCATGGCTTTGGGTAAATCTGAAGTCATTTTTAAATGAGTTTTTTTCAGGGGGGGGGGGGAGACCATATTAATCAAGTTCTCGGTGAACCCTCCCCATGGGTGGTACACACTGCTTGTTCAAAGAACTGCAGCACACGCTGGGATATCAAAGCAAGTCCTATATCCTGGAGGCTTCACTTGTTTCTCGTGCTTCATTGTGCTGAGTCAAAGGTCTTACGCAATGCTTGCAGTTACGCCGAAAGAGCTGGGGCGGTACATTGTCATAGTGCGAGCAGGGATCATCTCACCACACTGCTACGACGACATGTGAGTGTGCTCATTCATTTCATACAGTGCTTTTTGCATGCATCTACGGCTGCAGCTCACTCTTTTGCAGTGAAAGCAACTGCATGTTTTGCTGACCTCCAATAATAAAATTGAGGGATGCAGTATTTTGTTTCTTAGAAGCATACAACAATACTAGAATGAAATCTTGAAAATGTGATACAGTAGGAGTTTTCTCCTTAGTGGCAATATATAGGCAACAGGAAAAAGATAAGTGAGAGCTGAATGATATACAACGTCCTGTCAACATAGTCGTACACAAGTGGTTTGCATTACGTACTACATGTTTTACGGCAAAGGCAGCTATTAGATCACAACGTGGGTCGCGTGCGTTATAGTTAACTAGCGCCGCCGCAGGTGTCCGTAACCAGTATCACGCGAAGAGAGAAAAAAACACCAAGGACACAACAAAATTTCAACACGATTCCCCTGGGCACTAGCCCAGTACTCTACCACTCAGCTACGCCAGTGCTTTGAACTCCGCGGCCGACTGACCCTAGGCAGGCTTCATGTCGGAAATAAATCGCATTACGGTGTGTTATAGAGCGTTTTAGAACATCAACTGAACAGTCAGGCATCCCAAAATGTTAATTGCGTAACGAGTGTGTCAAAAAGTGTGTCTCATTTTTGCCAAAAAACACTACCCTCATGGTGAATTACAGAAGCAGACGAGGGACAAACGCAAATCAGAACTTGATTATGCACTTCACGAATACCACGCCGATTCGAAAGACGTCACCCCACCGCGGTGGTGTAGTGACTAAGGTACCTGCGGGCTGCTAACACACAGGTCGCGGGATTGAATCCCGACTGTGGCGGCTACATTTCCGATGGAGGCGGAAATGAAATGTTGTAGGCCCGTGTGCTCAGATTCGGGAGCACGTTAAAGAATCCCAGGTGGTCGAAATCACCGGAGAGCCCTCCACTACGGCGTCTCTCATAATCATAATGTGGTTTTGGGACGTTAAATCCCACAAATCAATTAATCATTTGAAAGATGTCTTTATTTGTTGCTGTTGCAGGTTTGAGGAGGCGGCTGGCGGTGAAGACATTCCTGAGACCAAGTATATCGAACAGGAATCGGATCCACACAAACCGGTGTCTGTCTCCCCATTGCAGCTAGACTTCTACGTAGATGAGTGGGGTGCCGATACGAAGATGCTCACCTTGTTCGATGTTAGTCAACATCCGGTGCACATCCAGTGTGAGTACTCGTTGGCTGACATTTTTTGTTTCTTTAGGTGAGTGGCTAAGCATCAACTGCAAATTATGCAGTTATTTTCACAGTGCCTTGATGGCATGTACAGAAAAAAGCACAACGGTATTGCTCCCGTGGTGTGTTCTTCTATCCTGTACACGTGTTTTTTTAATGTTCTTGTGGTATTGCTTTCCTGACCGACGCTTTCCAGTTTTACAAATAATATTGCTCTTATAATCACTTAGTACTTCCCCCCTGTCTGAAACAAAGCGTTATATAATAGCTGTTGATTCCCCGCATAACCATTGGTGACTTGGGAAACATGTTAGGTAGGATGAATGTACCGTCACTGTTTTTTTGTGTCATGAATACAACTGTAAACTGAGCATGACTTTAGGAGAATGCATTATTGCACTGCAATGCAGCATGATTTCCCTCTTTATTTTTTTCCTAAGTGGCTACATCTGTAACGTTATTACTGTGTATCAGATAGGCATATAATCAGTGTAATAAAGTTTCGGGATGGCACTAATCAGTCATAAGAACGTGATAAGGCAATAGAGGCAACGAATGTTTGCTATGGGTGTGGTTCAGCATGAGAGATACTTTTGTTATATTCCGAAATCTGAAGAAAAAAAAACAATCTTCGCTTTCATTGTACGTACAACTTCTGTGAGAGGCATCCAAGCCTCCATATATTGAAGTGGAGTTATAGAAACCTCTCAGCTCTCAGTTTTGGACACTTACCTAACTTGCTGTTAACACGATGAGCAGTAATTCAAAAAATTTTTGATCTCTGGTAATCCGGCATGCCAATGGAAAAGCTGTAGTTTTGCATAAGACATCCAAAGCAGGCAGAGTGCTCTCTGCAAAATCTTCCAGTGAGTGAGTGTGTGCGCAGTTTGATTATCAGAATGTAGCGTAGTTTCTCGGCCATCTTTTTTGTTATTTTTTCTGCTTGTAGTTACAATCTCACCTCACACTTTGCTAACCTTCAGTTGAAGCTAATGTACAGTGAAGTCGCGAAAAAATTTCTAGCAAATGCTGGAGAGTATTTTATTGTATGCATAGTAATCGATGACATATATATCGACTAAAAGTGTTTTTGTGTGCTGGCGCAGCACTATGCAACATTTTTGATGATATGATTACAAGGTCAAGTGCCAAGGTGCTCTAAGAGCGTAAAAATCGCAAACACCGTCCAAAGTAATCTAAAGCAGTCTAAGAATGAAAGAATTTTATTCTGACATCAGCTCGATCAAGAAAAAATATGGTGAGTTCGTAGAACTGATTTTTAAAGCAGCACCTGGGATACCAAAAGAACATCAGACGTTCACGGAACAAGCCGCAAAAGCGTTTCTCTTATGCATCTTTCAAATGAAAGCGCCCATGGTGCCGCCATGCTGCCCTTTGCGTTAGCGCAAAGCAGGAGTTCCCAAACATTCATGCCACAGGCTTGTTTGCTTCATGCGAGGCTTTGGTCTGGTGCTACCATGGCACAGCAAAAGCTATCGAGTGTTCTGCATAGCCGGGCGTTCTCTGGTCTGTTTCAGCTCGTAGCATGCTTATTTAGAAGCTGTTGTTTCGGTTCCGCGCTGCGCTGCTGTGGTTACCCAAGTGTGCATTTGGCGTGGAAGTGTTCGTAGTACATCCCTCCTAGCTGTGCATGGACGAGGGTAGTGTCGATGACTAGCCTGCTGGATGTGACTCGTCTTCGTGATGCTCTAGCAGCCTTACACAAGAAGCGAGTAGTGTCTGGTTGTAAAGCGCCTTTGTGCCACCTCCTAATAAAAGGAAACACTAGCATGTGAACCATTTGCACGAGATAGTGTTATTGTGGCGTGATTTTTCATAGTTGAAGGCAGTCCTGCATGTGGTGTGAGAGCGGTTATATAATTGAATGTTAAAAACGTTCAGCTCACTTGACGCTAAGCTCCCCGCGTGTCTGAGTAGATAGCTCATGGCGCTTATTGTAGTGTTCTGTGTACACAGAGGAAAAGCTGACCGAAATTATGCTCCGGAAAAGATTGGAAAATCAATTGGAAGAAGCCTGCAAAAAGTGATCTGTCAAAAATTATCAATGATGTAGTTCATAGAAAAGACAAGCCTTTTGTAAAAATTGAAAAATTTTTGATAATGATTTTTTTAAGTGTTTCAAGCCAATTTTGTGATATTTCAGTTTCAGTTTTAGTTTTATTGAGCATTTTCTTCACAGAGTTGCGAAAAAGAAAACGCAAGGATAACAGCGAAAAGCTGCTATGTTAGCAGCTTGACGAGGCTCCTACCCCGAAATGAACGTTGGTTGCATAACCTGTTTATGTTATTCTTGTGTATTGAATCGGGTTAGACAGGTGACATAGTTATTGAGAAGGTAGCTAAGTTCACAGCTTGTGATAATTGGTTAGAATTTTTGTTTTGTAAAGACAGTTTACATGTTTTGATCTTTCTCTTATAATTGCTACATATTTAGTTTTTCAAGTTCCGAGGATGAGATAATAAGTAGCACTTACCGCTACATACGGAGGCTGTTTTGCTTTGAGACAAAAATTTGCTGCTGCAGAAACTGCTCGTTGGTAATTTCAGCCAGGTTACTTCCGTAGCGTGGAAGGCTGAGCGAAAGTTTGAAGCTTCCTCTTGGAGTATCGTCCTTACTTGTAGAGAGAATTGGCATCACGTAAAGTGACGTACCACCTACACTTTCTAGAAAGACAAAGCCGATCCAATCGAGTGGTGTATTGGTTCTGAAAACTGATTGGCTGGATTGAAGACCACATGCAAGGAGGGTACACTTACCAATGCCAGTTAATATATCGCGCTTGTTTTTTTACACCTGGTCTAAATGTAGCAGGTATACAAGCATACAGACTTTTATTCGGAATGTTTGGCCAAGCTGAGAGCATAGTGTAGTGTGTTGCATACAGCATGGCAATTCGAAGGCAATATTCTTTCTTGATTGCACTCTAGCTGGTGCAGTCTGCGTGATTGTAGCGAAGGCTTGCTTGCTAAATTGTAGGCTGCTTCACCGTATGAAAGCACCTTGAAAATGAAAACGTGACAGCCGTCCAATTTATAGGGGGAATGTGCAGTATATGTTACCCCTAAAACTGTCAGAACAGAAATTTTACATCCGTACAAGAAAAGGTGTAAGGGTATTTTTTCTAATTTGAAGATCTTTAGGGAGAGTACTAATTTACAGGACCAGCTGAATAATTCTGACCTAATAATTATTTTTCTATCAAGGGAACACTGCCTTGCTTGTTAGTGACAACGCAATTTCTTAATGAATCCACGCCACTTTTGATATATAACGTTAATATGAGTGAGAGCATGAATTTTCGAAAGAAATATCGGCCCTACTTTTTCAAACATAAGTAGATACTTGACTGTTGCCTCAGCATTGATTTTTTATTTCTATCTTATTGTGCTACTCCTGAGTGAGATCGTCTCTGGAGTGAGGGAAAGCAGTTATTGCCAATGATTGATTCTAACTGGCGTAGTAGTAAAAGACATGCAAGGCGCTGCGCCGCAATTATTGGCGTAGTAGCAAAAAACCTAAACTGCACTGCGCCACAATTATGTGGTTTGAACTGCGCTTTTTCTGAGGTTGTAATTGACTTCACACTTTTACACAATTATTGTACTGTAATTCAGGTCAGCAAAAGTTCTTGGAATGAGCGCATTTCTTTTTATGTTTACAGTTTTCTGATACACTGTGTATCTAGGCAATCACGCCGTACTCAATTTTGATCCTATTGGATATATTTCAGTGTGGTTTTCCCAGCAGAGTCCAGGCCTGCACTACGACAAACATGAGGCAATCCCCTGTAGAAACCGACAGTTCAATAAGTTCTCCGTTTCTCTACAGATTGGTGCATTACTTTGATCTGTATGAAGAAATTGTGGGCACCGGAGTCAACGTACGCGTAGCCATGCGCAAGCAAAGGGGCCACAACCTTGGGTTCAGAGATGTGCCTGTGATTCTATGGTCAAAGCGCACAATCTCTGATGATGGCAGCGAACAGAACGATGGAGGAGACTACACTCTTTAAGTAAAGCATATGAAAATGTTACATTCTCTGAATAAATTACACGTATTTGTTTGATGTCATAAGCTTGCAAATATAATTAATTGATTTTTCTGCTAGAAAATATTTTATTTTATTTAATAATGTATCTTGGCACACTAAACTACAAAAGCTTATGACGTAAAATCTATAAACAGAAATTGCGTCGAGCCGATGTTTGAACGAGTGGACTTGTTTTCCTTGAGGCTAGAAGAGAACTGATTTCTTTAGCGCGAGCACATTTCATACCCTCTACTAATTCAAAAAACGATGGTAATGGATAACATGGATACGTGGGTGTTAGATAGCGGGGTAGGAGAGGCTGTGACGAATTGCACGGCTCGAGGTGGAATAGTTATTCCGTGAGTAAAAGGAAAGTGACATTGCGGAAGCGAGGTGAGAATGTGAACATGTCGCGTAGTCACATTGTCGAACCGGCTGTTAGAAGTTCACAATGGCAGGCTTGAAATGCCTCGACGGAGGGTTTAACTCACCGTGGATGTTTTTTGTGTATTTAGTCATAGCGAGTTGACTCGAGAGTCTCTTTAGAATTGTTTATACATACTGGCTGCAGTGCACTCAACGTTTGTATAAGTTACAACTGTATGTATTTTCTGTCTCTTACGGGCTGAAAGTTTGACTGGAGAATGTATAGTTTGAGGTCGTAGAAGCTGGCGTCCCGTAACATTAAACTGCTGTCCAATGTTACGTGACACAACATCGCATTTGCATGTTAGTGCACGAAATTTTTTTCATGCACTGACGTCAATAAAAATTCTATTGCAGTGATAAACAATCTTTGGTACTTCGGGAAGTGTTTTTAATTGCGCGCATCGCATGTCCATACTGTATATTATAACGTATAATATATAATACTTACGTAGGATAATATTTATGTTTTGGAGCGCAGTTGAGTATCGTGTTATAATTGCTGGCGGGCGGTTGGCTCTGCTACGGGATTTTTTTGAGCTTGTCTTGTTTAGCTATCTAGTTTACTTGCTTCGTTGCAAACCTTGTTGAACTGTGTTGTGGGTAATATTTTTCGAGTAATGTTTTCTTTAGGTTTTCTACTTGGGGAACGTATTTACCGTCGTCGCTATAGATGCTTCTTTTACGCCTCGTTTGTGCATCGAAAACCCTTTGTTTGCAGTGTCGCGGGTGGTGACTAGTGCAATATAGGTATGGTTGGTTGTATGTCGATTTTATGTAAAACATCGTTTTTAATGTTTCTGGTTCTATAGATAGCGTCACATATAGGAACTTATTTCATTGGGAGAATGGTGCTTGGTAAAGTTGATACTGGAGCGACACTTGTTACACATGTACAATGAATGCGTTCAGTGCATTTTTGTCCTGTTCCCTTAGAATAAACATGTCGTCTATGTAGTGAAGATGTGATCAAAGCTGTGCTTGAGGTGATTTGAACAGTTCTGGGGCCGAATTCACAAAGCTTTCTCTTTGGCTACGCATTTTCTTAGCCAAAAGTTCTCTTATCTGGAGGGATTACTATAGCGCGGGTATGAATTTAACTTATTCGGCACTTAAGAGGGCAAGGAGGACACACGATAGCCGATGAAACGACAAGGAAAGAAAGAAGTGTGTGCCGATAATATCAAGGTAGCACGCAAAGCGTCTAGCATCGAGAGTATACCATGATAGCCAATGATTTGCTGCATCTAAGTTTCAGTTCCGCGAGCGTCTGCTACAGCGCTTACGGGATGCCGCGTACGTTGTAATAGACATTTTGGTGGGCTGTGCAAAGCCAAGCACTCGCCTTTATTTAACGACTGTAGCTAAAAAAATAATTGCTCGATGGCCTTAAGCCACCGAGCAATCCATGCACTATCTCGCCAAGTACAAGTAAACAACACTCCAGACCACATAAATGAAACCACACATAAATCGATGCATGCAATGTTTGAAAATGTGCCTCCAATGTCTTCCCCTATTTAACGCGACCAGTTACCTTACATTTCATTGAAGCTGCGCTGCTACTTAACTAATTCGGTGCGATCTAGCACGGTATAGTGGTGAACGTAAGAGTGTTTTGTACCTATAGTCAAAGGTAGCCTTTGTTACAATATTCTTATTACAAGACACATGAGCCACTTTGGTGCCTGCAGACGAATTGTGCGGAAATAGATAACAGCAGTAATCAAATGAAATTGTGAGCGCAATTTCGCTGGTTCCATGCACCGCAGCATTTTTATAAAGCCGGAATGCGAGAACGTGCATACGCTTACGCTTAGGTATATGTCTACGTAAAATGAGGGAGACTCGTCGGGAGGTGTCTCAGTGCTAATGCTTTTCACAAAACACGGTGCAAATATTTCGCCCAGCGTTGTTTGAGTGCGCAAACGAAGCAAGGGACGTGTATACGAGTCTTGAGGTCGAGAGATGTTATCACACGTGTGAAAAGGATGAAAAGAGAGAGAGAGAGACTCTCGTTTCGGCTTCGCGAAAGCTTGAAATTGATAGATAATAAAGACAATTTTCTGGCCCAGCAGACGTCAGGGAATGTCTCCGCAAAGCAGGGTCAGATGCTCGGAGAGCATAAAAAAGTGGAGTACGCGTTATATGGGAGTGACAGCCACTCAGAAAGCGAGATGATGTGTGACTGTCCTTAGGTGTGAGAATCAATGCTAATTAAGAGAGTTGAGTTAATGAGCCAAAACTTTCCTAAATAACGATAATGGAAGCAAACTGAGCATTCATCTAGTGAAAGTGACACCAGTGACAGTGAACTCATAATAGTTGATTAGCGCTGTCACAGGCCGATATATATTTTTAGTTTCTTATCTATATTTGGCAAACTATGAGAAGGTAGCGTACGTTAGAGCCGGCTATCCCAACGTAATGACAGTAATGTACAAGAATAAATAGCGCACGGTTATACAGTCACACGTGGCAGTTTCTATCTTCTAGTAACCTTGGGAAAACGCATTCTAACTATTTTTTCTATTTTTGACAAAGTTTCACGGGACGTTTTTGCATTTGGCTTCATTCGAAGGAATGACGATATATCAGCAATAGGGCGAACACAAGCACTGCTGCAGTGGACGAGCGGTTACAGCGCTCAACTACAATCTAGGAGGTACTTGGTTCGATTCGCAGAATCACTGAGCACTTTTTTTTTCAAGAGGTTGCCCGGCCTGACATTATGCGTGGTGGCGGGTACTAGTTTTTTGAGAAGTAGGCTTTCGCACTTGCTTCTTTCACTCCCCTTTTGACCCGAAAGCGCTGTACTGTGCTCCTTCAAAAATTAAACAATTGAGGGTTCATAATTTTTTCCTCCATCCTCTCTTATCGCAAAAGTGTCCAGTGCTGAAACACCAATATCATACCTGGTATATTACTTTTCACGTCTTTGGATATTCGACCAGCAATCAGTCTTCGCGGTGTTTTGAAGAAAATCTACACATGCAGTGAGCTAACTGCTTGCAGCCAAGTTGACTGCCTTTGTAGGGACACGCTTTCGTGCTAATTTGGTGGGCATCATCACATGCAGCAAGATCAAAGAGCACGGACAGTTAGAGCTGACGCAAACAGAGTGATTAGTTTGTGTCTTCTCTCCCGCTATTTGTCATGCTGCACGCTTCAGTGTAATGTCGCTGTCAATGGTTAAAATGAACTATAGCAGGTAATCGAGTTCTGCTGAGAGGGTCCCCTATTGTCCAGAATGGAACAAAACAATGGCAATTTGATTTGTGTGATAAAGAGATACCCTGCTTTTGGTTACTAGAATAAATTTCTAAACAGAAGTTTATTTTTTATTAACAACAGTTCCAGTGCAGATGAAAGGTGCATGGACAAAATTCGTGTATTCAGCTTGACTAGGTTTGTGACCTTAATTGTTTTTGCGAACCGGTATCACAGTATGCATAAATATCACACACATATACAACCACGGGTGATAGCTTGCTTATTCTGATTAAAATTGAAAGGTTGAAATCAACATATTCAACCAACGCAATGTGTACGAGATATGCCATGTAGAGTAGCTATGCTCGAAACTAATCTTGGCAGGTTCGTTCCATTTTACCCAATTTTTTGCCCATCACTGTAGGTTGGGAAATGAAACTTCTTCAAACACACATATTCTGTGTAAGGTTACATTTATTTTTATGCAGTACAAAACAAATTGAAATGTATAACGGCTCAAAGAGAAATAACTAGAAACAAATTCAGCCAGATCATTACCAAACTTACTCACCAATGATAAACGAATTCTCATTTAAAAGATACATACATACATACATACATACATACATACATACATACATACATACATACATACATACATACATACATACATACATACATACATACATACATACATACATACATACATACATACATACATACATACATACATACATACATACATACGCGCACACACACATATACATATGTACACCCATACATACATACATACATACATACATACACACACTCATGTGTAAATATTAAAATGAATGGCTATAAAACAACAATTCTAATACACTCATTTTGAATATACTACAGAAAGTAACTTACGAGAGATATCCACCGGCACTGTTGCGTCTGAACACGGTGTTTCTCGAACCGTCTCGCAAAAGCTTGATGCATAGTTTTCCGCTGCTGTCCAGTGACAAGCAGTCTTTATAAAAAAGACAAGAATAAAGCCCTTGACAATGTCATGCTAAAGCAAAGGGCTTTGCATCGATATTTTGTACATGTCTGCAATATCACTCTGTTTATTTACATAGCTTGGCTCATTCACAACCCACTAACAAAGCATGTTAGGACACTTGGGCTGAAAGTTGGCACAGCACGAGTAAATTCTAGACAAAACTTGAATAATACAATTATAAGCTCTTGGTGCAAACAGTGCTTATATTGACAGCTATAGGTGCCATTTCGTTTCCCCAAAACACTTCTCAAAAGTAGAATCAACTTTATTTAGCCAAACGTTTCTATTCTGGCGCGTCGTGGTGGCT